ATAGTATAATGTACATATGTATGCAAATATACTTACATACGATTGAGTTTTTCCAAAACCTCAGAAATTGAGGAAATACATATATTGCTTTGAACAAACAAATCGTACTTCGAGAAGATTTTATTCCTTCACGTTACAAGCTTCTAACCACTTATCTTTAATAAACGAGAAAATTTGAAAAATTTCAATCTGGAATCCGTGCAAAAATTTAAGATTCCTACAGCTTTCAAATGCGCAATTAATTTTTGAATTTATTAAAATTACTGATTTTTCGCTTTAAAATCTGTTGTTTGAAATTTTTTCAAAGACAGTTGAAAAATTATTGTTTTTTTGTGGCTGGTAGCTTGATTTTCATAGAGATGTCATAATGCCAGCAAAAGTCAAATGGCTGACATGGCGGCAAAAATCTTTGAGTGAAACTACCTTCTTTTTTGTATCATGCTTCGACCTACAAAAGCCATACAAAATTTTGACAGCGAATTACCTAATTTGTTGGTAATTCAGATCCAAGCACGATGCGAATTACGAACAAATCGGTACCGTCTCTAATTTCTATCGGAAATTTGTCGAAGCCAGCTCACAAGTCAAAACTTGCATTTTTTCTGAGTACGAAAAGGAAAATTTTTCAATGTGGATATCCCTAATATAATACTGAAACTTATACATTCTTATGAAGAACCTACATTTTGCATCAATTTTGCAGCGAAGAAAAACAAAAACCAAACACATAGACAGAGAACTGTCAAATCGAATAAAGAATGAGCTCGTGGGAATGGGGTGATTCGTGATCGTAATTGGGGGAGCCAACAAACTAATTCATGATGGCGTGGGCAAAATGGTATAACTTCTTATTTGACATCAGTAATGGAAAAGGAATGTCAATCATCTGACATCGAAATTTGACGACAGTCTTTGTCATGCACCGCGGTATGGACATTTGGTCAGTTTTTAAAATGTAATGAGCACGCATTTGACACTAAATGAACAGCTGGCCGTTTTTTGATGTCAGCGATTTTGACCTAATGAAATGCCTGAGGCAGCTTCTCGCTCTAATTCCGCCATAATGACTGCCTTAGCTGAAACAGTGTTACTTCTTTAACAATTCTTAGCCTAATAATATAGTTGATTTTTTTTTTCTGAGTATACACATTTTGTTTTCTCAAAAAGGTATTATATCTTATTTTATTTCATTTCATTGCGAATATACTATAAAAAAGCAAATTTTGTTTAGAAGAAAATATGAAATTTTATATTTTTCCCCCAAATGGGGATTCATTTCTTCCCGTTTTTCGTCTTATTCTACTGAGCTAAAACTATGTTCACATACCAATATTACCTCAATCAAAGCTCGTTTTTTAATCACCCCGTTTACACAGGCAAATCTCAGATTATTATACTAGGTTCACATATAAGTAGATTATCCTCATTTTCAAGCTTAACACCCTAATCTGTAATTATAACAAGAGATTAGCCATATAAAATTCGTCCCTTGTTAATCTGTAATTATGAAATAATCTCAGATTTGACCGATAACTTTTCGGTGTCCATCCTAGTTTTATCGATTGTTTTTGCGAATAAGAGGAGAAATGCCAAATGTAAAAGTAAACAAAAATGGACGCTAGCAAGGAAAAGAGGTTTGTAACGGTATTTTTAATAAAATGTTAAGTTAAAATATATTTATATTGCTTATTGTAGCAGAAAAACGTGATCACGGTGGCACAGAGAAGAAACATAACTTAGCCTTGAGATGTGAGAATAACAAGCACAACGAATTTGACGGTTAATAATCTGAGATTTGCCTGGGTAAACGGGGGGATTAAAAAACAAGCTTTGATTGAGATAATATTGATATGTGAACATAGTTTTAGCCGTCAAATTTGTTGTGCTTGTTATTCTCACATCACAAGGAAAAGTTATGTTTCTTCTCTGTGCCACCGTGATCCCGTTTTTCTGCTATATTAAGCAATATAGATATATTTTAACTTAACATTTTATTAAAAAATACCTTTACAAACCTCTTTTCCTTGCTAGCGTCCAATTGTGTTTACTTTTACATATGGCATTTCTCTTCTTATTCGCAAAAACAATCGATAAAACTAGGATGGACACCGAAAGTTATCGGTTAAATCTGAGATTATTTTATAATTACAGATTAACAAGGGAAGAATTTTATATGTCTAATCTCTTTTTCTAATTACAGATTAGGAAGTTAAGGTCGAAAATGAGGATAATCTACTTATATGTGAACCTAGTATAAAGGCATTGTCAAATCGAGCTGTCACAACTGATACCACCTTTTATTATTGTATCATGATGAAAAGCAGCCTTTATAGGGCATTCGCACGAAACGATTTTACAGGGAACAAAAGTTGAATGCAAAGTTGAATGCAAAGTTGAATGAGAAGTTGAGAGTGAAAAAGTTGCCATCCCTATTCAGATGAGACGATTTTCGATTCAACACGAATTGTTATTTACATTATTGAAATGGAATTTAAATCGCAAAATTTTATCAATTGGCGTAAATTTGGTAAGCCAAGCTTGGTGGAAGTGCTTTTAGCGACGCTGAAAGATAAAATAAAAGTAAAAAAGAAAAAAAGTATGTATACAGAATTTAAACAAATACAGGGTTGCAAGGAAAAAAGTTGAACGAGCTCAAAGTTGTCTGGCGAGAACCTTTGTTGAAAGCGATTAGGTGAAAGGCCGTTCGGACGAGGCGATTTTTGCTGAAAAATCGCGACGTGCGAAAGCCCTATTAGAGAGCGAATTACTAAACGTGGAAACATCGTAAAAGGAACTTTCTTCGATTTCGCCATACAGCATCGTTGTTGTGACAAATATAAAGAATTGTGGCGAAATGAAACCACATATAATTGCGTTTTGTATAATGCTCCATCCAACTTTATTAACTCAACTAAATTTAGATACAAGAAAAGGTACGCGTAGCCACAAGAACCGTTATAGAATGATCTAGAAGTCGATTCGCAGAAAAGAATGTGTAGCAGAAAAAGAATACGAAATAGCGATGAGCCAAATGTGGTGTTGCCACATGTGCCGATTATTGCAGGGTCGCCACAGTACTCCCCCCTAAATGAGGTATTAGGTATAAAACGAATTTAATTTGTAGATTTGCAGTCCCGATTGGTGGCTGGACTAGAGGATGTGCTGCTTGGATAGGATGGCTGATTAGTTCCTGGTTGCCCGAGGGGAAGGCTGGTGGTAATGCGCGGCTGTAGCAAGTTCCCTGGCGTATGCAATGCGCGCCTCTGTGGGTGGTTGTCGAAAACACCGTCGGTGGCGAGGTGAGCTGGTTTAATACGCTCGATGTTCACGTTAACTTCTTTGCCATTTACTTCGATGGTGAACACTCGTTCGTCAATCCTTTTTATGACTCTGTGTGGTCCTGAATATGGCTGGTCGAGAGGCCGTTTGGTAGCATCGATCCTTAGAAACACATGCGTGCAGGTGGCCAGGTCCTTAAAACAGAATATCTTTTGTCGACAATGATGTGATGTAGGTGCTGGTCGGATTTCTCTCATATGTGTGCGAAATTCCTTGAAGAAGAAGTGCGGGTCAGCTGGTGGGTCTTCGTTTGTGAAAAATTCCCCAGGAACTCGTAGTGTTGTACCATACAAATATTCGGCGGGTAATGCCCTCATGTCCTCTTTGTAGCAGGTTCTCAACCCGAGCAACACTGCGTGAAGTACTTGCGTCCACTGCTGCTTCTGATGACACATGATAGCGGCTTTTAAAGTGCGGTGCCATCTCTCGACCAGTCCGTTGGCTGCGGGGTGGTAAGCTGTAGTACGGATGCGCTTGCCACCAACTAGGCGTGACAAGGCTGTGAAAAGCGCACTTTCGAATTGAGTGCCTTGATAAGTTGTGAGTAGCTTAGGACACCCAAAACGTCTTCCGGCCACTTAGTGAATCGGTCCACCATTGTCAGGCAGTATTTGTACCCTTGGGATTCCGGCATCGGTCCCACTATGTCCAGATGAATGTGGTCGAACCTACCATCCGTGTTGGCGAATGAAACGGGTGCTGAACGGACATGGCGACCTACCTTGGAGCGCTGACACGGGACGCAGTCACGAGCCCATTGAGTTATATCTTTGTTCATCGAAGGCCATCCGTATCGTTGTGCGACGATCTTCACGGACGCCCTGCCGCTGGGATGTGCCAAATTGTGTAACAAATCATACACTTTTTTACGGAGCTGCAACGGTACGAACGGTCGGATATTGTTGGTTGATACGTCGCAAGTTACTCCTCTGCCTCCAGGTCCGCAGTAGAGCGTTTGCAGTTTGAGTGACGTATTGTTGTGAGCCAGCAGGTGCTGGAGTTGTTCATCTGATTCTTGGGCGAGTGACAGTTCCTCGGGGTCGATGCTCATTGGGAGATATATGGCGTCCAAGCGAGATAAAGTGTCAGCCACGTTGTTGTCTGATCCGGTGATATATTGTATGTTTGTAGTAAATTGGCTGATGAAGCCAAGTTGCCTAATTTGCCTTGGTGACGACTTGTCTGACTGCTGTCGGAAAGCAAAAACCAGCGGCTTGTGGTCGGTTCTGATTACGAAGTCTCGGCCCTCGACCCAATGTCGGAAATACCTTACTGCTTCATATACTGCCGACAACTCCCTATCGTACGTGCTGCAATTTCTCTGTGCGGGTGAGAGTTTCTTCGAGAAGAATCCCAGTGGGTACCATGCGCTATTCTGGTGCTGCTCCAAAACTGCTCCCAGGGCGCTACTAGATGCGTCGCAAGTTATTCGTAATTCGGCTGCTAGAATTGGGTGTGCTAAGAGGGCTGCGCTGGCCAATTGGTCTTTCACCCTCGCAAATGCTTTTTCTGCCTCCTCAGTCCAGGGAACCGGCCTCTTGTCATTTTTCTTAGCGTCTCGTAAGAAGTTATTTAGGGGTGCTTGTACCGTAGCAGCACTCTTAATATGTCGTCTATAGAAATTCACTGCTCCGATAAACCTCCTTAGCTCTAAGATGGTTTTAGGTTTCGGAAAATCGCGAAGTGCTTGTACCCGGTCCGGAAGAGGTGCTGAGCCCTGAGCTGAGACCCGATACCCCAAAAAAATCGACGGCAGTGGCACCTAAGACGCACTTGTCCGCATTGATGCATAAACCAAATTGGCTCAAGCGTTGAAATACGGAACGAAGATGTTGCTTATGCTGTTGAACACTATTTGACGCTATAAGCAGGTCATCGATGTAGGCGTACACGAATTCCAAACCGGAGAGGGCCTCGTGGTTGAAGCGCTGGAATGTTTGTGCCGCGTTTCGGAGTCCAAATGGCATACTGACGAACTCGAAGAGGCCGAATGGAGTTATCACGGCTGTTTTAGGCACGTCTTCGTCTGCCACTGGAATATGGTAGAATGCGCGGCGTAGGTCGACAGTGGAGAAGATTTGCTTTCCGGCCAGTACTGCTGCATAATCCTGAAGAAGCGATATTGGGTACCGGTCCGGGACGGTTTGGTCGTTGAGCCTGCGGTAGTCCCCGCATGGTCTCCAGTCCCCATTTTTCTTCCTGGCCATATGTAGGGGGCTGGCCCAAGGACTCTTGGAAGGTCTTGCATGACCGAGATCGACCATAAGCTGAAATTCTTCTTTGGCTATCTTAAGACGTTCAGGGCGTAGCTGACGGACGCGTTGAACGCACGGTGGACCAGAAGTTGGGATAAAATGCTTAACTGCATGCCTGGCTGCCGTCCGATTGGACGGATTGCCAAGCAACTCTGGAAATTCCTTGAGGATGCTTGTGAACTGGTTCGTCTCATCGACGACCGTGATGGAGGTGATGGGGGCTGTGGCGTATGTGCCCCTGCTACGAGTTTTCGTGTTCGGGTCCATAACGCAACCCTGTTTTAGGTCAACAATAAGTCCATGCTCGTGCAGAAAACCGGCACCGATGATTGGGTACGGGACATCTGCCACGCAAAAAACCCAACGAATTGGTCGACTGAGTCCAATGTTCAGTGATAGTATTTTTTCGCCGTACGTAACAATTTTGCTGCCGTTTGCAGCGTGAAGTCGGAACTGTGTTGGCGTTGCTTTGCAATTGCGTGATGGTGGGGTCACTGAAATATCCGCGCCAGTGTCGACGAGGAATTTCGCGCCGGATGTGCGATCGTATATAAACAGTCGGCGAGGATTTGTTTTACTCCCAGTACTCGCTATGTCTACTGGGAGTCTGCTGCGTTTCCCTGAATCGACTCCCATGTGCATGGTTGAGTGCATTTGTTGGCTTTAGCGCCAAACCTGCGATGGTAAAAACATGTTGACGAAGTAGCCGTGGAGCTCGTGCCCGACGGTGCGTGTGTCCGACGGACAGTCTCCTTTTCCATGGCCTGAGTCAGCTTACGCATTTGTTTTGGGCATTAGGTACCGACTGTCGGGGTCGTGCTTGATTTCGATCAGCTTATTTGCTAGTTGCGCAAGTTGGTTGTTGTCGTTGTCATCTGAAGCAGTGAGGGCTACCTGAATATATTGCGGAAGCCGGTCGAGTCAGATGGCGCGCACGAAGGTGGAATCTAAATGTTTACCGCCAAGATGGTTTATTTCTGCCAGCAACTCGGACGGTTGTCGATCACCTAACTCCAAGCCCGATAGCAACATTTTGAGGCGGCGCTCTTCTGAAATTGAAAAATGGTTCTTTAGCGCCTCCTTGATTGCGGCATACTTATCGGCTTCTGGTGGGTTAAAGATGATATGTTCGACGATGACGAGCGTATCTTGGTCAAGGCGGGCAATTACCGCTTGGTACTTAATTGTGTCGGATGTAATTCTTTTTAGCTGAAATTGCGCTTCGATTGCTGCGAACCAAAGATGAACTTGTTTGGTCCAAAAGGGAGGCAACTCCAATCGCTCCACCCTGTCGAGGTTAGCGGTTGCTTGTTGCTGAGGCATGGGAGCGATTGCTTCAAAAAACACCTCGCCGCCTGCGCTAGGAGCAAATGAACAGCCGTCTACAGTGTTCGCGGAGTCTGCCTGGTTATTTTGGATCTTGACGAATGTATTATTGAAAATATAAAAGCTTCGGGGTCACCAATTATGTGGCGAAATGAAACCACATATAATTGCGTTTTGTATAATGCTTAAATCCAACTTTATTAACTCAACTAAATTTAGATATAAGAAAAGGTACGCGTAGCAACAAGAACCGTTATAGAATGATCTAGAAGTCGATTCGCAGAAAAGAATGTGTAGCAGAAAAAGAATACGAAATAGCGATGAGCCAAATGTGGTATTGCCACATGTTCCGATTATTGCAGGGTCGCCACAGAATAAATTGATATATCGATTGCAGAATCGATTTTTTGGCGCCTCTACTTAGGCATTCAAATTCTGAGCAGTAACATCGATACATCGATGTTTCGATGCATCGGAGAAAAGAGCATCGAGACTTAGGTCGGTGTTATGCAGAAATTTTGTTTGGCAAACTGCGTGCAATTGTTGTTGCAGCAAACTCGGAGAGAGCGAGTTTGGCGACTCTCACAGCAAACTAATTTTGTTTGGTCAAACTGCAGCAAATTCGGTGTTGCCATATACAAAAATTTTAAATTTTGCGCGTTATGTACATCTGAAATTCTCATTTCGTGTTGGCAATAGCCATGAAAACCATAATGAACGTGCAACCCTGTGCCAAACTCGACATAACCACCTCCGAGCAAACTAAGCAGCCGCCATTTAATTTGGCAAACAAAAGTTTGTCTGCATAACACCGACCTTATATACATCTCCAGATAAACATCGATATATCGATGGTATCCGATGTTTTGCAATTTGTTAGTTTTTAGTTAAATTTAAAGCAATATTGAATACTTTAATAATTGTGAATGTATTTTCCTGTATTTCATTATCTTTTCTATACCCTTTCTATTATTAAAATCAAACGGCATACCATCGTAAGGTCGTTCGGACCTACAGATCCTAGGCCTGATCTTGTTGAAATTCTAAGGGCCGGTTACTCAATGTCTGGTTAACACTAATCTGCGGTTAAACATCGTTATCGACGTCTTCGACTCCATGCATACAACAGGGAGTCTGCAACGTCGATTACTATATTTAACCGGAGATTAGTGTTAACCAGACATTGAGTAACCGGCCCTAAGGGGTATTTGGGATGATCACAATATAAATTTTTCCAATCAGAGAAATGTACGTATTCTGCACGTATTAAGCATTGCCTTCTTTGTACGTATTGTTTTGTACAATATGGCAACACTTGTTATGGGTCAGTTTGCAACCATGTGTTATTGTAAATATTGGTGCAATTCAATGTAATTTACAAGTCAAAAAAGTTGATTAAAGTGATTTATTTACAACATAAAATAAAATAAAGTATTAAGTACAGTGTTTTGTGCATTTATATATATATGAAAGTATGTGACTTAAGAAATTTTAACAACAAATTACTTATAAACAATGATATTGTTTATATTTTTTTTGTTATACATGATTTAGAGGATACCTCCCCTAACAGCCTGGCCAAGTTTCATTTGTTAATTCAAACTGGTTTTCTTAATAGGGCTTTCGCACGAGGCGATTTTTCAGGCAACTTTTGTGTTCAACTCACGCAGGGTTGCACGAAAAAATCGTACGTATGTTAATCGATCATTAGTGTCAACCAGGCTTTGAGCAACTGGCCCTTAGCCATTCAACCTTTTTTTCGTGCAACCCTGCGTGAGTTGAAAGCAAAAGTCGAACCCAAAATCGCCTTGTGCGAACGCCTTTTAATACCATGTTCTGACCGACATCGAAAACATGTTTTCGTTGGTACAACTGGTTTTCGACCATGCAAAATCTGTCAAACGCAAGCTAGTTTTCGCTGACAACCACTTGAAAACACACGTTCCACTCATTCCAATCGGTGTCTGCACTAGTTTTTTCGACTATTTATCGAAGTGGAAGTCATATTTTATCATCTTAAATACACCATTTCGGATTTATTGGTAGTTGGCTGGCAAAAGTAAAATAAGAATGAAAGTAAGAGGTTGCTAATTGGGGTGTTCACAGTTCGTTCCAAATAGTGTCTCAAAATGTAGACGTCTACATTTTAAGACGTTTTCTAACCGTAAAATCTGTGGTGTTGTTGTTTCCCATACAAAATTGGAAAACGACGCCGTCTACATTTTGTCACACTCAAAGGTATGTTTTTTACGCGTCTACATTTTGCAACCTCGCAGCAGGGTTGCATTATGGCAATACTAATCACATTTTTTTTATTTATTGGGCACGTTTTCCGTATTTGCATTTAATTTGAGCGCAATTTCTGATGAAAAGAAACAAATCAAGGAAAAGGAATAACAAATATTACGAATTGGTAATTAAGTTAAATAATTACAATTTTTCAGAAACAAAATCGAAAGGCGACATATAAACAATGCACGCAAACAAGAAATGTCTGGCAACACCAGCAAAGTTTTGAGACGATTTTGCGACGACTGCTAGAAAGGGGTGCTCACAGTTTGATGCTAAAAATGTCTCAAAATGTAGACGTCTACATTTTCAGACACAATTTGGAACGCACTGTGAACACCCCAAATGTAAAAAAAATGAGGGAAAAGCATTTTGGTTTTGTTTTTGTGTAGCAAAACTGTAATCAGAGGATGTAAGAAATGTCAACGAAAACACTAACAGCCGGTGTGAACAGCCTTCAGCCCACAATCCCAAAACACATTTTCAAAGTGTTTTCGTTGTCGGTCAGAACATGAGTTGTGTTTTCGTATTCTCTAGCAAAAAATATCCAGTAACTTGCCAGTAACCAAATTTCGGAGAGTAAGCCAATATTTACTCACAATGAGTGAAATATGCAAGAAAGTACGAAAACGCAAAACCAGCAAGAAGTTCCAAGTTTTATGAACAGCTGATTAATTTGTTATTTTCCGATGCAATTTTCTTAGAAAACTAGTGTTTTTCATCTTATTATATATTTAAATGGGTTTATTTTGTCAATTGCAACTCTAAAAGCACCACAAACAATTATTTTCTTAATGTGATTTACAATAAGCATCATGCCATCAGCTGTTTTTCTTACTAGCAAATAGTTTCTAGTAAAAATTTATCCAGTAAAACTCCAGTAAAACTTGCAAGTTCAGCTGTCATTTTTGCTCTCTCAATTTCCCCTCTTTTGCTAGTGTCTTGCAAGTTTTTGCGTACGAAAACGACATCCGGTAAAAACCAGAAAATTAGTATTGGATTTACTGGATAGTGCGTACGCGAACAGGGCTATGGTATAAAACAAAAGGTGCGGCTGACTACTAAAGCCCACCCGATGTCTTCGATATATCGACTTT